GATTCCATATATATATATATATATATAATTTAGGAGGGACAATTCAACATTAATGTACACTTCACATACAGAAGATAACTTTATCTAAAAAAAACTCATTTTTCTAAATATTTTTATACTATAATTTTTTTTACATAAATGTAAGTAAATTCCTAAAAAGAATTTGAAAAGTTTTAAGTTTATTTTTTTTTCACAGCAATGTTAAAGATTGAACTTAGACACTGCTTGAATGATTTGATATTGGGTCCAACAAATTTACCAATCTAATTTCTTACTTATTTTAATTTTATTAATGTGTTTTATTTTTTTTTATTTTATGTGAATTTTTAATAATTAATATTTTATGTGAATTGTATAATTATTTTACTTTAAAATTACAATAATTTGAAAATAATGTAATTAATAGTTTATAATGTTGTTATCGTTTCTTAAATTAACGTGTTTTTATGTTATATAGTTAATATATTTTTAATTTTAATTTATAAAATTTTATTATGAGAAACTTTTAGAAGAAAAATTATTGTAGAAATTGTTTTTTTCTTGTGTATTTATTATTATGTAATATTTTTATTATATATTAGTAAGAAATAAGGAATTCTTTTAAAATATTTTTATTTTAAGAGGAATGTTGGTGTCTTAACAATTAATATACAAATTATATCATGAAATTAGTGTCTTAATCAACAGAAGTTACATAATATAATATAATTAGTATTAATATAGATATTATTTTTTTTACTTCATATTAATATTTTAAAACTTCACCTTAGGCTAATCTAACTCGATCGATAAATAAGTAAAATTAGTCAAAGATTTTATTTCATAAATTTACTAGAGATTTTACTCATTTTATATTTAGTATAGATTAATTTTACATATTTAATTAATATATAATATAATGTAGAACTAGTAAATATTCCAAAGCTATAAAATATATGCTAAATTATATTTATCTTATTTGTTAGATTTATTTTGGTCTTTTATCTTGTAAAATGTTTATTATAGTTATTTATCTCTTAAATTTAGACTAATTTGATTATTTTGAAACAATGATTATTTTATATTTTGAGACATGATTTTGGATAATTTTTTGATTGATTCAAAATTTGAAATTCTTCTTATTAAACTCCCTTATATAAGAATTGTTGAACTAACTAAAATTCAAATAAAAAAAAAGTAAATTGTATAAAAATAAGTGTAAAAGACAATTAAAAATTAAAAAATATAATTTCTTACTATTTTATAGTTACTTATAAGACGTATTTTTCACACGATTTTTATTATATTATTGTTCTTATGGACTCAAGCATCAATGAAATTTTATAGTTTTTATATCATTAAATCTATGGTTAGAAGTTTTACATCTTGAATTAATTAAAATTGATTCAAAATTGAATCATAAAATAAAAAAAATATTGTTGTTTTAAAAATATCAAATTGATCAAAATATAAAAGATAAATGATCAAAATTAATATTTTAATAGATAAATGACTCAAATAAATCTAAAAAATAAAATAAAGGACCAACAATACAATTTAGCTTAAAATATATTAATAATTATAATAATATTTTATGTTAATTTTTGACAACAGTTTTATGCTAATATTAAAACTATAATTAAAGTTTTTTTATTAATTATTATAATATATATTATTTCAATTGATAAATAATTTTTTTTTATATTTTTGTCTTAACATTAATTTAAACTGTTTAAAATTTATTAATGTTAAACGTCATTAAAATTTATAAGGTGTTAAAATTAAACAAAAAATAAGTATTGATTTTCATTTATACTTATTGACTATATAGTATTTTTTCCTTTATCCCTTATTCTTGAAAGATTAAAAAATTTAAATATATTTTTAGTTTTATATATATATATATACCTTTTAAGATCGGTCATAGAAGAATCGATCTTAAAAGTACTTTTAAGATCGGTTAAATTTTAACTGATCTTAAAAGTGTTCACATTATTTACAAAATTGTTACTGCGTTACTTTTAAGATCGGTCACCTTTTAACCAATCTTAAAACCCCGATTTTAAAACTAATTTTTGCACTAGTGATTTTTCTAAAGAATTTTTTTAGATTAATCAATAAGGCACTAAGACGATTAGTTATCTTGACATAAAAAGCCTAATAGATAAAACACTTCATGTGTAAGACATTTATTTTGAATTCGTATCATTTATGATGTCTAATAACTAAATCTTTGTGTATATGATTTATTAACAGATCGAAGTAAAATAGCTTCCTTAATACCCATAATAACAAAAGAGAAGAAAACACATTTGATAAAACATAAATGCAAACAATCAATACACCAACCATAAATGGAGACAAAAAGCTTGTAAGAAATGCTCAAAGATTTGAAACATTCATCCTTACTAAAGTACTTATATAAGGAAGCATGAAGACTCAAAAAGAAGTTGGAGCACACACATTACATTCATTCTTTCTGTGTATAAGCATTGTACTTAATATGGTTGTATCACATCTTAAACATAAGACAAACAATACAAGTATCTTACCTAACTTTAACTTTGTATTATTGCTTTGAGTCTAAGAGGTTTGACTGTAAAAGAATATTTGATTGTTTAAAGTTTGGAGAGACTTTATGTTAAAGAAAATACTTGAATAGTTATTTGATGAGACACATAAAAGAATACTTAGATTGAACCATAAATGACTTGTGTGTAATGCTTGTACTTTGTAAAAAAATAGTAGAACTTAATCATGTTTGATAAAAAAAACTGGATGTAGTCTCAATAATTGAGACAAACTAGTATAAAAATATTTATGTTCTTCTTTCTTACTCTTTTCATCTACATTCATACACAGTTTTGCTATTATTTCACTATGTTTGTAAAAGTGAGTTTTTGATTGACATTATTCAACTTTTTTTAATGTCTCTCTTTTCTTCACAATAATATTACAAAATAATAATAATTAATAATTATTAAAATGTTTTTACCCAAATTTCCTTTTATTTTGACATAATATATAAATACTACACGATATCCATTTTTTCTATTTTGATAAATTAATGAAATATTGTACAATGTTTTATATTTTTTTTATTAACATTAATTAAAGTTGTTTTAAATTTATTAATGTTAATAAATAACAGTAATAAAACTTAAAAGGGTATTTAAATCAAATAAAAAATACTAAAAGATATTTTGAGTTAATTAAAAAATAAGTTCGTGCATTTTGCTAGTCACCAGGCTAGTTTATATAATTCTCTTTTTCATTTAAGATTCACTTAAAAAATAATACTAAAAAGGGAATTGCTATGGTACCCATGATAATTGAAAGGTTTTGGTACTTCTAATTATGTGAACAAATAAATTTTAAAAAATGAATTTAAAATAACATAAATTTTAGATCAAAAATTTGTAGAAGATGAATCAATCAAAAAGACTAATTCAAAAAAAATAATCAAAAGGTTAATTTTCATAACAAATTTTATTTATATGTGATAGAATTAAAAAATTAAAAACAAAAAAAATAATAGTATTATAAAAATATTAAAATAAGAAAAAAAAATAATAAATAATATAATTGAAAAACTAATTTATACTATAAATTAAAAAAAAATTAACTCTAAAAAAAATTAAAACGTATTAACAAAATATTAATATTAAATTATTTAATTATAATAGATGCTATATTAAGATAAAATTTAAAAAATATAAAAATAATTTAAAGATATAAAATTTTTTATAAAAATAAATTATTAAAAATAATAAATAAAAATAAAAATAAAACAAGTAATTATAATAAATAAATAAAAAATATTCGATACCCATGGGTACCGTAGAGTTTTCGTACTAAAAATAAGAAGTTGATGGTATAAATTCTAAAATAACAGTTTGATTGTTGCGTAAATAGAAAAAAAGTTTAAATTGAAAACATTTTATTAGTAACAATAATCTGAGTAATAAAGTTGGGGTAAGAAAAGTTATCCTTTTTGAGAAAAAAAAAAATCAGTATTTTAAAATTTGAATTGGTGATCCATACCGTGGGATACCGAATTGATGAGTTATTACTTATTGCTGCAAAGCACGTAAATTCAAATCGATGAGAGAAAAAGCATCCAACGGAAACAAAAGCTGCAGCAGTTGCATATATACTACACATACAGTGTAGAAGATCAAGATTAATAAGGAGGAATTCACCGTTGAAGGTAA